CCCAGACCCCGGGAACCCCCAGCACGCCGGCGGCCAGCTGCACACCCCACCGGGGGGCCGAGTAGCAGCAGGCCCCCAGATAAACCAGCAGGAGGGGCAGCCCAGACCGCAGTCTTACAAATACCCAAACATACCCAATCGCACCATCCCACCCTCATCCTCACCCCCCACTCAATCAAAGACATACAAGGACGCCACATTCCACACATTCCCCCGATACACACTCAATACCCTCCAGGTCCAGGACATGCACCCACCCCTTATTGGAGGCAGCACACACCCGAACCCAGGAGGTCGTCCCAATCATTCTGAGATGGAGAGAAGCAGATAGCCAAGGCCCGGSCCGGGCCGCACCAGGACGCCCGGTCAGCCCCCCGCCGCTGACAAGCCACACCCATGACCACCCCACCACACCGTCAATGGCCAAGTGCAGCCCCCCAGCTGTATTTGTTATTTAAATATTGTTAAATATGATTTCTCTTTGACACTCTTCTGTAGCTGCTACAGATGCTACATGCTACACATGGTGTCTGACACATCCAGCACGGCTTTTAAAAGGGGATAGTTTTTATTTAATATTTAATTCAGGATAAATGGCAAAAAATACAAGTTTAACACTTGTGAATTTTTTCTATTGAATTAGCATAACCTAATTTAGCACAAGCTAACGACTTCCCATTTAGCAAAAAAGCTAATCTACTACTATTAGCAGATTAATGAAACTATGCCCACCACTGTGTAACACAGATAAATACTCTTAAAGTTTGACAAAAATGAAAAAGTGTTATTTCCTAACTCAAGACGGTGATATGATTCCTGCATTTAGCTTTAACTGCCTGTTCTGTGACTCAAAGCTGAAACTGCAGCTGACTCACTCTTGGTGATGCAGTGCTCCGCTGGTAGCAGCCTCTTCTTCATCAGACCCTGCAGGACAGACCTGACAGACGGCCGGTGAACCAACTGCAACACAAACAAGTGGGACTGGGGAAACAGAGACGGGACAGGTGAGACCCCCACCTGTCTTCAGATAGAAACTGGAGCTGTGTTTGGGTGAGACTTACACAGCAGCATGCCGTCACAGTGATCTGCACCGTGTTGCGGCCCGGCTGACACACCTGCTTCAGGTACAAAGGTTTGTGGGAGGTTTTGTTGTCGCCTCTTTCAATCGAAAGAGGAGTTGCATTAACACTGACCTAGAAGAAAATAAGAGAGGCTGAATAAAAATCATCTGATTTGATCAAACTAATGTGTTTTATTTACTTGTACTTTTTATGATCCACACAAAAACACTTGTTTTATACATTCCACTAATATCAATAAACTTAAGTCCAACTAAATATAAGTAGAAAGCATGCAAAAAAATGTGTTTTTCAACCACTACAGTAGTGCGACAGCCCAGTGTGACAGCACACACTTTATCCTGATGTGACCGAATAAATGTAAATCTCTTGACTGAAGCAGCAGAGTCACAGAGCATTAAAGCAAAGAAGAAAAGGTGAGGATGCGTACCTGCACAGAGGCAGGCCAGTTAGTGTTCATCTGTCTGTCTTCATGGTGGTAACATTTAAACTGCAGCTCCAGGTCCGGTCTGCAGGAGGAGACACAACACAGCGTTAACACGGAGCCTGGGTGGGGTTTGTTACAGCTACACAAAGAAACACCGACAAGTTTGTGTTTTTGATTTAACACCAAAGACCGACGTCATGTTTCAGGTTGAGCAGTATAATATCTCCTCATCTAATATCAATTTTATTTATTATCCAACTGAAACATATAGATATACGGACACAGGTCAGATTTAGGAACAAGTATTGTCCCTCTCAGAACCAAACATTAATGGCCCCAATAACAATACCTTAACCAAACTCTGGCTTCAAAAACACCAAATGGCAGCAAATGTAAACTGAATATTTAAATTCATTTCTGTTCAACCAAAGAAGTCAGATCCCTGCTTTGAATCTGGGTTGATAGTTGTTCAAATAAAGATGATTTAATCTACTTCAGTACAATTTAGAAATGAAGATGATAGATTCAAACCAGTTTATTATCATCATCATCATCGGCAGTAGTAATATTGGCAGTGTTGTAGAAAGAACCACGAAGTGATACTTGAGTAAAAGTACAAGTATCTTACCAGAAATTACTTAAGTAAAAGTTAAAGTCTCCTTTAGGAATATTACTTGAGTAAAAGTCTGGTATTTTTTGTACTTAAGTATTAAAAGTAAAAGTATTGATTTAAAATGAGCAGTTAGAT